TGGCAAGCCATCACGTGCGAAAGAAGAATCAGTTGTGAACAATGAAATAGGTCGATGTCGAAAGCCGATCGTGTCACGGGATATGCCCTTCGAAACTTGTTTTATTAGTTTTTTAAATGCAGAGCAGATCACGTTAAGCAGTCCAAAACGACAAGAATGAGGATGATGTACTAGATTCAACATTACAAAAAACTGTTTTAAATCCACTAACTGCGATGGCCTTCTGGGTCAAAATAACTGTGGAAATATGAATCAAAAAATGATAAATCATCGATCAGCTGTCGGGAGCGTAGTGGCACATTGCCTAATTGACCGGCTTTGAACTTCAGACTTTCCGGGTCAGAATTCACTCAAAGAAGAGTCTTAGACGTGAATTACCTTGATCAAGTAATTTGTGCAACATTTTATCAGCGAAATCAGCCGAGAAACGAGAAAATTAGCCAGTAATAGGAACGGCATAATAATCTGAATCTGATCATTCAGAATAAATGAAGTGTACAACAGTGCTATCTTATACGAGCGGTCATTGCAACTGCACTTCGCACTAATCTGACTGATAGTTGACTATCCAGTGTAATAATCAGTATAAGGTGTTAAGTGGAATTTCATTCTATAGCGGTTTCTTCTCTTCATGGAACATTTTGTTCGGGCGTTGGTAGTCATACTGAATAAACAGTCAGAAACCGCTTAATTATGCACTAGAAGCTTCTTGGCTGAAAACGAATCTATTGGAGGCTAACAACAACCGAAAGCCTCCGCAAATTTTAATTTAAGGAACGGTTTTTAAGAAACGGATCGAAAAACCGGTATCGGCCTATCACTCCATAGACTACTATATTGGGTTGCGCATAAATAAACCGCTGCTGTGTTGTTTGTTTCTGTCATTACATGGTTATAATCAAAATTTTCACACTTAAAAAGTTACATATAAAATCTAGCCGAACGCCAATAAATCGATTACCACGGTGGTCAGCTTAGCAATCGAATATATTCGCGCCAGGCCAAAATCGGTGACTTTCAATATGCCATCGACACTGATGAGGATGTTCTGAGGTTTCAGATCTCTGTGAATAATGCGATTTCTGTGAAGGAAGTCGATACCGCGTAAGATCTGCTTGGCCATGTCCTTTGCGGTCGCTTCGGACAGGTGTTTCTCCGCCATACTTCAAAAAGATGGATGGTATAAACAAGTAATCATGAAGACGAAGAATATGATAAAGAAATAGTAGAAAATGCTGACAAAAATAATAGAAGAAAAGGAAACAGAACAAGAATAGACCGTTACCGAGAGAGCAATGTCGCCAAATCCAGTGGACAGTACTCTAAAACAAGATGTATGTAAAACTCCTGGCCGGGTCCTAAACCATGGCAAACGTCGTAAAGCCTAGAAAATGTCACTGCAAGCAGAGGCGAAACAACGCGAAAGTCAGATGGTACTACCTGATGATGTTTGGGTGCTCATAAATGCCGATATTCTTCAGCAGAGCAATTTCGCGCAGGATGCTCTGTGGTACGCCGTACTCAGAGGCGACGATGGGAATTTTCTTCAGAGCGATCACCTCGCCGGTGACTCGATGCCGTCCCTTCATAACGATTCCATATGCACCGGCCCCAATCTCCTGAATTTCTTCATATTCGCCTTAAACGAAGCGATCGGCGAGTTAACACGCGTACTTAAAGATTAAATGAATGAAAGACGAGAACAGCTACTTCCATTGCATGGAAGTTACCATTTAAAAACTGTCTTATGTTCAGTTCTTGTAAGCAGGTCCATAGCAACCTGCCAAGCTTAATCACGATGTAATAGCTACAAAAGGAGGTATCGATTGGTTGTCTGCCTGAATAGCAGTCAGCTGATGATTTTAAGTTCTGAATCTATGGTTCAAGTTGAACAAACCCTTAACCCATTCCTAACGTTAAAAATAAGCCCAACACTAAAAGTAACATCACTCTAGTAATCCTCTTTATTCGCAAACTCTGACAAAATCAAACAGTACCTGAAGAATAAAGGCCTTCGATATACTACAAAACAAGCAGCTCGCTGGGATCGCAGATTTACGGCAAGCTTCGTCAACTAGAGGAAATAAAATCTGGTTCATAAGATCGACTGCAATGACGATGACAAAATCTAGAGAGGGAAGACCACATAAAGATTGGAGAAAAAGGCTGCAAAACATCTGGCAGCTCTGAAGAATGAGAGAATGATGCATTGTGGCATCGTCTCCCATGCTCTCTTCTAGGGGCAGTTGTTTCGTTTGACGAATGTCATCTATGTTGATAAAAAGGACAAACATCAGATAATAAAAGAATATACTTGTTGGCTGACAAACGTCAACTTGTAACGACTGTAAAAACTCGCATAGTTTGAGTGATATTTGGAATGTCAATGGCAAGCTTGTCCAAAACAATTAATGAGGTAAACGTTATTACCATTCAAACACATAATTAGATCGTATTATTTTATGTGTAATATAACCGCGATAAAGACGCGGGCATGCGGCATCGAAACAAATGTGCGTGAAGGAATTTTTACCATCCTATATACACAGCTGTTTCCCTCAACCACTGATCGAGAACCGAAGATCATCACTGTAACCTTCCGACTTGACTGGCAGTGAATCGACGGCTGTGGGAGATCCTGATTAAAAAGGATTCGAAATATTGCTAGTAGAAAACTATTAACACTTCAATCAAACGAATAGTAGTGACTTTTTGATACCTCAAACACAACAAACGGATTCATAAACTGAACTCATGATCGGTCTCCATATTTTAACAGACCGTTGCAGTTTATATTCAGAGACAAATGAACTGAGCACACTGCACTAAATTTTAAGGGCATAAAAAACTGGTATTAATAATGCTAAAACAATAAACGTTAATGTGGAAGAAAAATTTGCTTTTAGCTCATTGGCAGTAATTACTCTTTGCTTAAAGCTTACATGGCATGACAGAAAAAAGTGTGACCAATTCTCACTGATTTTAGTTCTTAATCGTTTTAAATGGTATCAATCTGAATTCCATTTGGTATATTGATAGAGTTTAAGGTAGGTATTGGACAGTTTCGCTTAGAAGTAGACCACAGTATTAATAATAGATTCTGAACCTTGTAAGACGTTAAATTAATGGAAAAAACGGAACAAGTGCAAAATGTGATCATAACGAAGAATGCCTTTATTTTGCTCTAACACGTGGTAGTAAACATATTCAATTTATTATTACATTTCGCGCTGCATCGAAACGACAGCGGGTGTCTGACAGGCATTTCACCTATAGTGAACAAACGCATGTTTATTCTTCAGTAATTTCGATGCTGTCGATTTCAACGATATCTTTGTATTTTGTTGAAGGACTTCTTGCCGGCTGCTTGCTATTGAGCTTTGCGCTCAATACTCGTTTCCCAAGACGGCGACGGTTCGATTCGTTGTCAATGTCCCAACTAACTGAAACTTCTTACATGGAATCAGTCTATCATTTTAGATGGACATTCTAATCTAATATGTTGCGAATGCCTCAAGAAAGGAAGACTAAGCAACTGTTCCCTGCAAATGCGACCGGCAGAAGGCACAGGGGACGACCAAGACTAACCTGGTGCAAACATATGGAAGGAATCTGTTCCAGACTCCAGTTGTCTTTTGCCGAAGCTCAGACTTTGGTACAGGATCGGGAACGTTGGAAGCTCTGTCTGACGCGTCTGCCTCCGTGAACCGAAAGGAGATGCGGCTATGGAAGATGAAGGATTCTAATTTTTCTCCTACAACCGAATTTCGCATAAGATCGTATCTCTTTGTTCCTAACGTTGACCTCAAAATCTGCATTTCCGTCCTTCTAGTTTTCTGCTTCCAGCCCTGTTACGTGATGTCATCTTCAAGCCATAGAGCAAAATGCTTAGAATGCAACACTGTATATGCGCAGCTTGG